AATTTTATTTATTTATTTATTTATTTTGTTTTGTTTATTTATTTTATTTTATTTGTTTATTTATTTTATTTTATTTGTTTATTTATTTATTTTATTTTATTTGTTTATTTATTTGTTTATTGGTTAAGTAAAAGGAGACAGGCAGATCATTAATAAATAAATAAATAAATAAATAAATAAAACAAATAAATAAATAAAGGAGACAAATAAATAAATAAATAAAGGAGACAAATAAATAAATAAATAAAGGAGACAATCAGTAAAATAAAAGAGACAAACCACCACCACCACTACCACCAGCAGCAGCATCATCATCAGCAGCAGCAGCAGCAACAAAAAACAGCAGCAGCAACAACAACAAAAACAGCAGCAGCAGCAACAACAAGAACAGCAGAAGAGCCATCCCCCCCACCACCACCATCACCACAACAACAACATTCTTATTTATTTATTATTTATTATTATTATTATAAAGCATAGAAATAAAAAAAAATAAAAATAAAAATAAAAAATAAAAATAAATGAATATTTATATTTGTATATCTTACCCTGGAGTTGCGTAGAGTTTTTCTATTAATTAATTTATTATTTTGTATTTTATCTGTTGCTTCGAGCTCAAGACAAACAGATAGCTGTATAGAGGATAGTGTTGGTGGTGTATGTATGGTTGCTGCTGCTTCAGCAGCAGCAGCAGCAGCAGCAGAAATTCCTTCTCTCCAATTAAGAGGTGTATATATGGGGCTGTTTGCATGCACACAGCTGGGTTCTAAAGGAGAAGAAAAAGGAGAACAAGAAGATAAACAAGGAAGAGATAAAGGCAAAAAAGAAACAAAACGAGAAACATCTCCATGCCGCAATGCACCCTCATCTATCACCCCATCCTGCATCGCCTGCTGTATCAATCGATACACGTGAGCCTCGAGGTCCCGCTGTATACACCACACACACAGCAGCAACAACAATATATACACCAGCAGCAGCAGCAGCAGCAGCAGCAGAAGCAGCAGAAGCAGCAGCAGCAGCAGTGGGAGCAGCAGCAGTGGGAGCAGGGGGAGCAGCAGCAGCGGGGGCAGCAGCAAGGGGAGAAGCAGCAGCAACAATAAAAGCAGCAGCAACAGCAACAATGCAAACAGTTGCAGCAGCAACGACGAAAACACCACGGCACAGCCACAAGCAAAAAAGAAAAAAAAGAAAAAAAAACAGAAAAAGAAGGAACAAACAGAAAAGGAAAAAAGAAAAAGAAGAAAAAGAATAAAGAGAGAAAAAAAAGAAAAAAAAGAAAAAAAAAGAAAAAGAGAAAAAAAAGAAAACACCGAAGAGAAAGAAGAACGTGAAAGAAAAGAAAAAAGAAACAAAAAAAAAAAAAAAAAAAAAAAAAAAAAAAAAAAAAAAAAAAA